CAATAATGTGTTGTTCAATAGTTCATCTTTGGAGCTGGGAGAAAGTAAAAAATTGAGATCTTAGGATCTGACAATACTATCCTGGAAGTGTCTACATAAATCTACTGTTAGATAATGGATAGAGCTAAGACAAAACATGTATTGCTGCAAATGACATTCTATCAATGTATAAAATAGGCTTAGCCTTCTAAAATAAATATTGATTTACAGACACAAGCATGATTTCACAGAGTTGTCTTCAACAAGATTTATTAAGATGAATGGGATGGGACATTTCAGCAACTAAATTGTTTTCAATTTGGAACCACTACCTCCATGGCAATATCTCTCTGACACCTTTTGATTTTCTTTCTAACAGACTTCATATAATCCAGTGAAACAATGGATCTCTTTCCTGGTATCAGGGAAGCTTCTGGAAATCCGAAAATATTTATCAGTTTAGGACTGACACTATACTTTCCTCTCCACCCATTAATTCAATCACATCCCTGAGGCAGTGGAACTGGGTTTTAACCAAGTATACCAGGTGAGTAATGGGGATCTGCTGCTTTGTTTGTACACAAGAAATACCCATACTCTGGCAGAGAAGAGTTCTGAGCCAATCACTACCAGCCACAGTCATAAATTCTGAGACTGGAGAAGGGGAGAGTCTGCACTTTGTTCAGAATGAACAAAACTTTCAATCTTTTAGTTTGCACTATTGGTGTGTCAGAGGAATCAATCGATTGAACTGGAAATAAGTCTTTTTACAATAGCTTAGGATAGCTAAGAGGAATGTTAGAGGTAGGTCTTAGTATCCTAGCCATCAGGACAAGAGATTTGGTTAGGAAGGCTAACGAATGCATATAAAATGGAAGCTTACAATCTGGACAATGCAATTTATGGGCAACTTTTTTTCAAAAGCACAAAAGAAGTTGTGTTGTTTAATCTGCTTATTACACGGGGAGGAAGAGCGTGGGAATATCATAGGCTTCCGGCTGCTAAAAAGCTATTCACTGAGAGAGACAACACAGAAGTACAGTTGGTCTTACCTGAACTATCATTTTCGGAGTCTTGCAGGAGGGTCCAGGAATGGGTATTATCAGGTCCAATTGGCCTAGAGACTGAGTTAGAATTGAAGCCAGGCCTCTGTGCTCTCTCTGCCTGGCTCCAGTTTCAATGAGATTGTAGTTTCAAGAGGACCTGAAAATAAATCAGAAGGGAAGACATCCCTCCACCCCACTAATCTAAGATCGACTAAGGACCTATTAGGTAGGGTGGGACCTGGACCATCCTGCAAGACTCCAAAAATGACAATTCAGTAAGATCAACTGTTCTTTTCCGGAGTAGCTTGCAGGAAAACCCCCTGCTAGAAGTTGAAGATCTATGGGCAGATCCAGCCCTTGGGGAATGGAAGAACGGGACCTGGCTGGGGATGGACTGTGCCTGCTGTTCTGTTTAGCCCATTCCTTCTCTGCTTTGGTCACTCTCTTGGATAAGGACTTGTGCCTACACAGCTCATCTTTTTGAGTTGTCCTTGAGGGGTGATCAGAAGCAGAAGTCTTCTGCCTTCTGGCCGAGGCTGTGGGCCTAGAAGGTCGACCCCCGAAACTCCTTCCCCCTGGGATGACGGAGGGGAATCTGCAACCTCATGGTCCGCCATTTTGAATCCTCCACCTCCCTCCCGCCTCTCTGATCACTCACACAAGCTGAACCAGCGCTAAAAGGTCTCAGGAAGCCTTCAAGCTCTCCAAGCAGCCCCAAGCTCGAATCCAGCGCATCCTGCTTAGATCAGAGCCGCCATGCCACTTTGTCTGCTTTGGGCTTCTTGCACATCTATAAGTTCACATCAGCTCTCCACATGTGTGCTGAGCGAAGCGTGGCTCCGGCGATCTCCCTGCAGCTTCACGACTTCACTCAAGGCTGCTCCCGGCGATCGGGAGAAGCGTGCCTCCCATGGACTGGTGTTAGGGTCTGCAGGAGCCCTCCCAAGCTGCCGATACCAAGTGTGTCACCCAGCTTCACGTGGCCCTTGAGCTCAAAATGGCCACTGGAACAGCACCAGAGCTCTCTCCCACAATGTTGGCTGTTCTTACCCTCTAACAAGTCGGCCCGAAGCAGCCACAGCTGAGAGGGAATATGCAGGGCCCAAGTGGGGGAAAGGAAGGGAAGAAGGGGCGAGGAAAGGTGGAAGGAAGATTGAAGAAAGATCCAGGAATAAGTTTCACCAGGAGCCTCTCTTAGGCCAGACTGAGTTGAAACTGGGGCCAGGCAAAGAGAGCAGAGACCTGGCTTTAATTCTAACTTAGTCTCTAGGCCAATTGGATGTGATAACACCCATTCCTGAACCTTCCTGCAATCTACTCCAGAAAATCAAAATGCTATAGCAATAAGAGAATAAGGAATGGGCAAGGAAACCTTTCAATGCTAAGTTTACAGCAGGCATACTCACCGAGAACTATCACAACTGATTAATCATACAATTTCATTTTTTATTTTAGATGGCCATGATACAACAGAAAACCAAGAACCCTTGCATTAAAAGCTAACAGTATTATCAGTATTATTTTCTTTGTGTGATAATGGCTCTCTAGCTATTTATACAATATCACATAAATAGTATTAGTGATTTCTGCCTTTTAAATAGTAAATCTTATTCTACTTTAATGTTATCCTTGATGTTTTGTTATCTTATCTAACAAAAAAAATCATTTAGTATCTCACACTCTGGATTCATTATTTCTTTAAATATTTAAAGAAAATCTAAGGATTAAGCCAATCTTGATAGATGGAAACAAATCAGAAGGAAAATCCTTAGGTAGCACTGTCTCATCTTTTAATATTATGCATATAAATGCACACTTTATGAAATTAGTATATTGTATTCTTAGCAATACTGCAATATTTTGTTAAAAAAATTATCCCACAATCAAATGGAACTGCACATTTTTTTTATTTTATCCATTTCAATGAAATTACTTCCCTTTCCCCCCACAAAGTAAAATCAGAGACCTTTTCATGCCAAGCCAGGTGAAATGTATTTCATACCATATGCAATACACATGGTTTAAAGATTATTAAATGTTATTACTAAAAAAATGAATTATTTAAATCTATAAGCAATCAACATGTTTTATTACTGTATAATACCTATTGTATTAAATTAATCTGAACTTATTCTTCTCAATTTATCTTAATCTTACAAACAACCAAGAAAAGTTTCACCCAATAACCTCTGCTGTAACAGCTCAAGTTTGATAAATCTATCTTGCTCAACTGAACTGGATTGCAAAAATAATGAAAATAATGAACAAAGCACCATTTGCTTTCTAAACCCTTCCTGCTGTAACACATTAATAAAATGTGGATAGAATGGTGGGTTGGGGTGGGGGGTGGGGAATTACTAAAGGAACATGGAGGGATACACAAAACCTAGAAATACTCTGTCAAGGTAGATATGCCTTTCACTTGCTCTAAAATTTCATCATTTACAACTCTTGGTAGCAGGCAACAGAGAGGCTTCTGGGAAGCAAGGCCCATTAAAATCTGCTAAGGAAAGAACTAATTTTTGGAAGAATAATTCATTTTTCTTAAGATAACTTCCCCTTATTAACTCTCTCACCTAGTCACTGAAGGTACCCTGAGAATTAATCCCTTTACAGGTAGTCCTTGCTTAATGACTGCCTTACATTGTGACTATTTGTTAGTGCTGGAAAAGTTAATTTTGCCACTGCCACTGCCTATTCCTGCTGCCTGGAATGGTCTGAAAATGGGGCGCGCGGAGGCCAAAAAAGAAATGTGTGAAGGCGGCAATAGGCAGCAGCAGCGCTGGGCAGCAACGGTGGTAATGGGCGGTGGCAATCCCCACAGCCTGGAACAGCTGATCGGGGGTATTCCAGGAAGCAGATACAACTGCCAATCAGCTGCTGGTGTTAAATCAGGCTGTGCCGAAGCTGACCAGGCTGTTTGCTGCAAGGAGGCAAATTGCTGGGAGGCAGAGGCCAAAGGTGGGGGCCAGCATGGTATGGGGCTTTGGCACATTCGTTGTATAAGATGCGCAGACATTTCCACCCATGGGGGGGGGAGTGGGCCTTATACACCAAAAAACATGGTACTTTGAGTCGTGAAAGAAAAGTTTAGGGGATAAATGCAATAAATAAAATAAAAATACTCCCTTTGGATGTTTTGGATACGGAGAACATCAAG